GCCCTTGCAAAAACAACTTTACTATTTATTTCGATAAGAAAAACTAATCGCACCTAGGTCATATTAACTAAGTCATATTTTGTTATGGCGTCTTTCGAAATCCTGGATAAAAACGCAGTGATGTTTTCAATACAGATCATGGAACGAGCAACCAACGTATTTGCACAAACCTCGTACGTATCCAGGACTCAACGTACAGCTGTTCTGGGGTCAGGCCGTTTTCGTGGTTGCACCTTATGGCTTACAGGTGAGTATGAAGCGTCGATTCCGTTCGTCAGAGTTTAGACACATGACCTCAGTAATCCATCTTCAGATCTAATTTTTCGTCATCTCCTGTACTCCACCCGTTTATAATAACCGAAAGCTTCTATAGAAATAGATAGCACCACAGGCGGAAGACTATGAAGCCCGATAACTCGTAAAGATAATTTCGGTGTAGAGTCAAACCACTTGGGAATATAATCCCAAATAAAAGAGTCCGCTAACCATCCACTCGTGACCCCTCATACTAATGTTGAAGAGTAGGGCGATTGTATGGACGTAACCGACTAAATGCGTTGACCTGGTAGTTTGTTAGAAATCACTATGAGCGAGGAGAAACCCTCGGCATATGGGTGTCGAATTTTGTGGATGTTTTGGATTGATTTGAACATAGCACACATACAACATATATGTGGATGTGCAGAAATAGACAGTGCGAAAAATGTAATGTGGTTCACGAGTGTTACAGACTAGCACTATCTTGTCAATGAGTGAATACCATTGCTATGCTTATCCAAACCACATTTGACACCTTCTGATATCGCTCTGTCATTCCGCAACAAACATTTCGTGTCTGACTGAAATCTCCCTTTTCATATGGCTTTGGTACTTGTAGAACACTTCTTAGCAAGAACGGATTTTCGTTGTAGGTCCGGTAGGACTGTCTCCAGAATTTCGTCGAATCGAGGTACAGGATGGTTCGGGCGCATCTGTCGGCACTTGGCTGAACTAAATGCCGGCAGCCTGCCAACCGAACCACGAGACTTAACATAGTTGGATGTAGATCTTCAAGTTTGTCTAGCTGGATACCTGCCTTCTTTGGAACGTGATTAAAAGGTTATCTCGGAAGGAAATATATGCACAATAAGATAGAACAGATTCCCTTCTCTCTATCACCTCACCCTCAAGTTGGCACTTTCTAAGATCTCTTCTTACAAGTTGGCATTCATTCTCGGAGTAAATACCGTCATTACGTAATGTGTACGCTTGCTTGATTATGGCTGACTACCGGGCTCCATCAGTTTCATCGGTTTACATAGTTAAGTGATGGTTGGATAGGAACGATTTCCTGAGCCTCATGTGCAGTTTACTGAATGGTGCATCCATGCTCACCGTATCCACAACTACAAAGCAGCAAGGTTTCACTGCTCAGGTTCTTCCTTCGGCTCCATGTGGACTTAACCGCTGTGTTGTGTTTAGTGTACCTGCTGTCCACAAAAGCATACACCGTTGTATGGTTCGAACTCACAAAAGTGCCCAGTGAGAACGGCAATCGCATATCAAGCAAAGCCACCGTAGAGTGACCGCACTCTTGTCGATGTGGTTCGATCGCTGAACTATGGGGTTATGTGCCAGGCAACAGGAGTCGTTTGTGGTGTTGAAAATTGAAGTTTGACTGTGATCACTACAACAGCAAGAAACCGTTTACCGTTGCCATGACAAATTTGACCTCGTAGATTTCCTCACCAACCTAGATGATCGGCAGGCGCACTCAGACATCTAACTATTATATTCAGACCCGAGACATGTACCCACTAAGGGAGCTCATAAAGCTGGGCGTAAGATCCAACACTGATTGGATGAGCACCCCAGCCAGTTGGTGCTTATCCCGGAATGACCAAGGTTGTCAGTTCCATATCCATTAGACCGCTGCATACCCCCTAAGCAACATAGATGCTATTTAGTGGTGCAGTCTGACGCCTTCAACTATGCAGATATCTTTGACAACTAGTTACATCTGTTTCCTCCATTAAGTAGTGTGATTCTTTTTCCTGTCCAATTGGCCTCGTTTTCTGGACATTAGGACAGACAAATGGGTTTTTAACGGGGGACGAAAGGCCTAACTCTATTGACCTTTAGTGGACGGAAATTCTTTTTCGGCAGCTTCTAATACATGATGGATGGTGTGGAAGCCGGATTTGTTCGTTTTGTGGCTTTTCCTGCCTAGGGTAAGAAGATCGCTCCATTTTATTATGCCGCCACATTTTTGGCGATCAACATTCATTCTGGTCAATAGAAGATACTCTTAATTTCATCATCGCCTCTGAGGATATAGCCTTGTCGGAAATTCGCCTGGATGATGTAAGGAGCCATAGTTGCACGGCAATTATGCAGTCATGTTAAAGCTCAGTTACCACCTTTTTTTACTATTATTTTTAACGATTCATGGTGAAAGCCGGCGACTGTGATGTCAGTTTGTGTACATTTCGGTCAAGGTCAGACACCACGGGAGGCTGGTATCTCCTTGTTCAGAAGGTGGCTCGTTTGCATCGTAGGTCTGTTTTGCGTTACAGTCTATCGAACTGTCACACGCCTTCCATGAAAGTCTCAACTCCTTTAGACAAAATACCGGCGCCCGTCAATCTGATCAAGGCGCTAGTTACCCGATTTTATCCTTCCCTTTGAATAAAATACCTCCGCTCTGAGAATTCGGTGACTAGGATCTTTTTAGCGGAAGCCGGCGTGATAGCCGGTCTCCTTATGGTATTTGGAAAGGCACACCAACCTCCGTTATAGAGAAACAAATTGACGAGCTTTATGCATCTTAATGGACCTCACCAATCCGTCCCCGAGGAACACAGAGTTGTAGAAACAAATTGCCATGTTGGTAACATCCTTTGCTGTACCATGGCTGGACCTGCATAGCGAAGATAACCTTTGAGTTCACACCATTCATATCTCAGCACCCAGCACAGAAGGGACAACTGCAGAGATGCCTCTGTGGTTAGAGCGCAAATTTCCTGCCCAGAAGGGCCGTGGTTTGAACCTAACCCCTGCATCTCAACTTCTCTTGTTTAGAGTTGGGGCAGTATCCCATCCCCGTGCTTCCTCTGCAGAGATGCCTCTGTGGTTAGAGCGCAAATTTCCTGCCCAGAAGGGCCGTGGTTTGAACCTAACCCCTGCATCTCAACTTCTCTTGTTTAGAGTTGGGGCAGTATCCCATCCCTCGTGCTTCCTTCATGTGGCACGGCAGCTAGGCATGCTACAACTTAACGACTGCAGACTAATCTTATTTTGTCCGCTTATCCGCTGCGCACTGACAATAATGGGTTGACGAACGACAACTGGGAGCAGTCACGATGCTCTACTTGCTTGGTTACACATTCCATATTCAGTAGGCCAGTAGCAGTTGCGCAGGAATCCCGGGTGTCTTTCAACACGGCAAGCCAGGTCTGAGATTCAGGTAATTCAAATACGATCGAAAAGTCTCCGGTTATCAAGAAACGAAGAAACTGCCTTTGGCATACTAGTAACAGCATTTTGGAGCCTTATTTTCAGTTTCCTGTGGGATAATGAGATAGCTTACTTTCTGGTGACTGAGGCAGGATTAGTGGGCTCTAGAAATGTCTCGAATGCACGCTACCTGGTTAAGCCTGTCAGCTGCCAGGTCTGCACAAATCGTGACCTAATGTCGGTTTCAGCGACGGAATCGGGTCACACAGAGACCGAGCTTCCTCATGTCGCTCTTGACCATACTCGTTCAATTGTTTAGTTGTCCTCCAATGTATGCTGTGTCTCCGAGACACGCACACAGACCCGAGCGTGAATATTTATCTCAAAACACCAAGGGTGGACTCAGGTCTTTCAGATTTCTCCCTCCGTGTGTCCGGTGACCCAGTAGCGATGACTCGTGAAATATATGGCGTGGGGTTCGCACCCAGCCCTAGAGCTGAACTCGCTCTGTTAGATTGGATCGCAGTGAATAGTCGTCTTTGCGCCGCCCGGTTATCCTGCTCAGTTAATCCCAATTCCTCTCGACATAAAAGCGGTGTCTGTTTGTAGTGTCGGCTTGTGCTCCAACGGACTGCAATTCTGATGCTGGGAAGGATGCTTTCTATCGAGAGTTATCTAGGCTCATTCGTCAAGCAAGAAGCACTGACATTGTGATGCTTGCAGGTGGTATGAATACTTAAGTCGATTGTCTGACCTCCTTGGAATCACATTTGGGCGGTCGGTTCAGAGTCGAAGCTCGTCGCACAGACAATGCATAGTGACCCCCCGGCTGTTTGCATATCGTGACTGTTTCTGGCCTGTGCGAACTTTCAGCATAAACGTTCGCATCACGTAACCTGGCGGCCACCACCTGCAAGTCAACCGTGAACCCAGTTTGATCACGTAGAAATCGGCCACTGGCGGAGAGCTACAGTTCAAGACTGTCGTTCCGTCTGGGGCACACAACTTGATTCCGACCACGTCATGGTGCATACACGCCTTGCTGTTCGTCCCCTTTCTGGCCCTCGCAGGTTAGCAAAAAGCGTGCCAATCCACTATCTTCGGCTACCATATTTCTGGCCTGTGCGAACTTTCAGCATAAACGTTCGCATCACGTAACCTGGCGGCCACCACCTGCAAGTCAACCGTGAACCCAGTTTGATCACGTAGAAATCGGCCACTGGCGGAGAGCTACAGTTCAAGACTGTCGTTCCGTCTGGGGCACACAACTTGATTCCGACCACGTCATGGTGCATACACGCCTTGCTGTTCGTCCCCTTTCTGGCCCTCGCAGGTTAGCAAAAAGCGTGCCAATCCACTATCTTCGAAGGGCTACCATAGTTCAACGGTATCCATCTGAGCTAGCCTACCAACTATCCAAAATAAAAAAATTCTGTGCCGGTAGTGAGCACGTGGATGAAGTGTGGCAAAATGTGAAGAGAGCTATGCTAACAGCGTTCAGTACTGTCTGTCCGACTTGTCCGATTCTATCACAAGACCAATGGATGTCATCAAGATCGCTTTCCATGATTGATGCCAGGAAATCCATTCCAGCAGGCAACGAGTACGATGGAGCAAGCAAATCCCTCAAACGCCAAATATTGAAGGACCTAAGGAAAACTGAGAGCTCTTGCGGACAACTCAAGCTCGGGAGATGGGGAAGGATTTTTGCTACAGGAAACACCCGTCCCCTATATCAACTGATACGACCGGCTGGCTCCAAAAAGGTGGCTGTCAGTGGACCAATAAGTGAAAAAGGCGGCTCATTGATCACTCCGCAAAAATGTCGACTGGGAAGATGGGCCGAATACTTCGAAGAACAGTTTAGCTGGCCTCCTGCAACACAGCCTGTGGAGATAATGCATACGGGCGATTGGAATGTAAATCTTAGTCACCTGTCGGAAGAAGAAATAAGGTACGAAATGTCGGTACTGAAACGTGAGAAGTCACCAGGACCGGACGGTCTGTATCCAGTTCTCTACAAAAAAAGGCTGCGAATCCCTGGAAACCCATCTGACAAAGTCTGTTGGTTCGATATGAAGCGAATGGAAAGTTCCTGCAGTGTCAACAGTTATTCCTATCTTCAAAAAAGGTGCGCGGACGTTGCTTGAAAACCACTGTGCCATCAGCCTGGTAGCTGTGGCATCGAAGTTGCTCCCTGATCTTATCCTTCGAAAGTTGTCTGAACACATGGAAAGACAGATCCGTGAAAACCAAGCTCGGTGCAAGTGGATGCATTGACCATATTTTTGCCCTCTGACGGATTCTTGAACAGTGACGTCTCTTCGAGAAGCCAACAATATTTGTGTTTATTGACTTGAAGACTACCTTTGACTCTGTGGACCGTCAGGCCCTTGGCAATGTCTGTGGAGCAAAGGCTTCCCCCATAAATTCTTGACCCACCTTAAGGTGTTTTACACCAGCTCCCGCGGACATATGAAGGTCTGGGATAAGCTCTAGCCTGAATTCATCACATCAAGTGGCCAGACAGGCCTGTCCTCTTTCAACTTTCCTTTTCGTTTTTGTTATTGATGCGATTATGGAAGACTCACTATCAGCCTACAATGCTTCTGGGGTCGAAGTGCTCCCACGGCATTTGCTCACAGATATAGAATACACAAATGACATAAGTCTTTGTGGGTCTGAAGCCGTGGTAATGCAAACAACGATAAATAATCTAAATAGTTCTGCTCCACGGTTTGGCATGCACTTCACACCTGCAAAGTGTAAAGTGCTGCTGCAAGACTGAGTGGGATCGAACCCTAACCTCACTCTTGCGGATGAGTGAATTGAGGCAGTAAACAGGTTTTTCTACCTGAGCAGCTGTATCAGTCCCGGTGATCTCGCGAAAGATGGTATTTCCATCCAAATTGGGAAGACCGGAGCAGCTTTTATGAACCGATATGACATGAACCGTGGTGTAGTCGTGACATCAGCTTATCCGTTAAGGGTCGAGTTTACAATGCTGGGCTACGGATCAAAAACCTGGCCGCTGCGCGCCGATTACGTCAAGAAACTTCCAGAGTTTGAAAATCGATGTCTTCGGAGCATTGCCCGAGTCTGGTGGGAACACAGCGTCTGCAATGCTGAAGTACGTTGAATGATTGTCGGGGAGGATAACTCGCCCACACAAGTTGTGCTGGCTTCGTCGAAGGGCTCTTTTCACACAACCACATGAAGAGTCGAAACTAATCACGGGGAGATCATTCACTTAACAGCACAGTATGAAAGCAATTATCAGGAAACTAAGCTGAACTTTTCCTTGCGGTCTCCCTGGATGGGCACCCGGAGATGGGACACATCAGTGGTTAGAGGCATTGTCTGACATAGCTCAGTCACGCCATCAATGACGCTCGTGCATCCAAGCTACTGCCTTCAATGCATAGCTCCCTTCCTACTCCTCCCATTTAAAGGTCCACTGGCAGTACTGTATTTGCACACCAATTTATCAGCTCCCGCCTCCAATGCGCAGCTACCTATCTACCTCCCCAAATCACCAGTGAACGGTGTGGCAGCTATACACACTGTACGACAAGTACGCGTTTCCTACAGCTGATAATGATGGTTTTGTGGTTGATTTTGTTAATGTTTCTGTCCAAATCCTCACGGACCAAGTCGTTGGAGGATTGAAGATGGTCGTATTGACGTTTTCGGATCTCATCATTGGCCGGTTCTAGTTAGCGAACTTTCACCGTACTTTGGTGACACCAACGGTCAAAACTTTCAGCTTTTGAATGTCCTCTGGTCGTAGATTCCATGTTTCTCAGGCATAGGGGAGGACCGGAAAGATGGCTGCTTTGAAGATCCAGATTTAACTGCAGTACTTAAATCTCCTTCTCACAATTGCGCGATGGCTTGTCGGTCATCTCCTATACGCTGCTGGACTTCTTTACCCTGCCCGTCGGTAAAAGAGTGAGGCCAAGTTGCTTGAATTATTTCACCTTTTATGTCGAGAGCTGGATAGGCACGCCCGTGCAGATGGAGAACTTGATCTCTGGCGTACTAATTTCTAGCGCTACAAGCACCGCTTAGTGAGTTAGATTATTCGGTACATGTTGGAGTTTCAAGTCATCACCAAACAAAACGATATCAGCGAATTCCAACCCAGCTATTCGGCTTTGGCGACCTAACTGTGCCACAGAATATCCTTCAAATACCAGTCTGATTGGCTCATGGAAGTTGTAAAGCGCCGGGGTCATTGACGAACTCTGCGATCTCCTCACCACATACCCGGACCCGACCTTTGACTGATTGGTAGTAGATCTGAATGGGGTTTACCAGCTTCACTTTACTCAGACAGATTGAAATGGTTGTACGGCAGTAAAACACCAATGTTCTCTTCTAGTTTAGCTATTAGTGATGAATATCAGCTTCGTGTGGACACAGTCAGCTAGGGACATTGCCATCATGATTAATCGAATTAAACGCAGTCAGTGGAACATTTTGTGGTAGGCTGCACGAATTTGTAGCGATGTTCTAATGTTCTTCCAAAAAGGATATTTGTTCCACACAGCCTCTGTCAGAATGCAAACCTCCTTGGTTTAGCATTGTGCTCGGGAAAACACGTGGTAGCACAGAGAACACGAAAGTCTTGGCAGCAGCATTAATATGACAATTTTCACGATGGTTATCATGTATCGTTCTATCGCTTTTTTGGTGAGAGGGAACGGATTCGGTTCTACAGATTAGACAAAACGGAATGGGAAGTGGATATAGAGGTGCTGGATTTTTGGGAATATAGATCTAAGCAAGGATCCTTCTTCCATGGAGGCTTTTATGCGGTTCACTTGAGTGATGATCACGGCAATCTGCAGTTTATTTGGTAGTTCACAGTTGGCTTCTTATGATATTATGGATGGAGTGATCTCGAGATCCCCAGTTTTGTTTGGTGGGTAGTCTAACGGTTCTTTAGGGTTGGTATTGTATCGAAATATCGGCCAAGGTATTCCGCATTTGCTCCACATAGAAATCGGTGTTGCAGCCGAGGATTTTTTGGAGTCGCACATATGTGACGAAAGGGCTTGTCGAAATCACCAGCACTGGAAGATTATTCCACGCCTGCTCCCATGTCTGACCTTTCTTGAATTATCGAGTGACTTGTCGCCGGATCGTGTAAAAATCCACCGATCACGTGGTACGGGTTGCCGCCACCTCGTTAGATAAAGAGACTGTTTCCTAAGATATTCAAACCCTGCGATGTCGTTGCCCATAGCCTACTTGGTCCATAAGGCCTTATTATATGGACGTTTTAGAAGCTATACACTGGTCGTCAGCTGTTATGTTAGTGCCCTTAGTATCCAATATGGTAGCTATTGCATCTGTAAGTGTCTCGCTTCTGCGGGACGCCGAGCGACGCCATACTGATGTCCGTTAGAGGACATTTCTGTAGTCTAGCAGCGATTTTTGTTTTAATCCTTGCTAGCTGCATTGTGTAATCTGAATCTCCTCGCCTTTATAAGATCTACTGTATTCAGTTGATGAGATCCGTCGTGTGAGCACTAGAATATAGTCTTTCCGAGTACAATATCAGTAATTGTTTAGTTGTAGGCTGAAAAAGGTATTCGTAACAATGAGCTGATAAAGGAAGCAAATTTTATAAGCCTGTCACAGCGCTGACCCAATCCAAATAATCAGTTCACCAACTCACCCACTACCATCACGAATTCTCGTCTTGAAGTCTTATTGATCTCTACTTAAATCGTTCACGGTTGGGAACAGTACAGATGTGGGGACGTAAACAGTTATTAGGATCAACATAAGAGGGTCTCCGTTTAAGCTAGCCACTGAAAACCTTGGCGATACTAAATTCCGCAGAATGAGTACATTTCTAGCATGGCCTCTTACATCAATCGCAGCTTCTTGGGTGCTCGAGTTGTCAGTCGGTCCGTTGTGATAAGACCAGTGAGAAATGTCTGGTCCAGCAACCTTGATTAGTCGTGTACCCGAATTCGGTAATCGTAAGAATTGCGCATGTTAATTGTTTGGCGGAAAGCATCAGGCAGGGTACGAATAATCCGACGAATGACGGGCAGCTTCTTTCTTGCGTTGAGATCGTCAACTCGCCTTCTTTTGATCTAGAAGGTATCTCTGGCCTTTACACAACCAGGTACAACCTGCAAGGCAATAGTAAACATGTAGGGACCAGGTAATCGGCACGCCAGAATGACCATTGAATTCAGAAAGTAATTTCGTTTGTTCTTATTTTGACATCAGGGCTTAGCAAGCCCTAGGAAACAGCCAACCAATGAACTCTTAACCTGTTTTTCGCACGCACTAAACGAATTGAATAGGACTTCCCCAGCAGAGGCCAGCTCGCAGGTCACATGGGAACAGTTCAGTGAAATGTGAGGGAAGACACTCGTTTTCTAGGACACCCGCACCCAGTCGGTCGGTCGGTTGAATTCTCTCTTTGTGTTTGGTGTCACTTGCTTCTAACTAAGAACATGGTAACAGTCCTAACCAATTTGTGTTTCTTCTCTCAGGTTTGAGTGGTGCTGGAAAGTCAACCATAGCCTTTTCCTTGGAGCAACTACTGGTCGCCCGTGGTATATCAGCTTATGTACTGGATGGTGACAACATTCGAACCGGCCTGAATAAAGATCTTGGCTTCAGTTCCGAGGATCGCGAGGAAAACATCCGACGAATAGGCGAGGTGGCCAAACTGTTTGCGGATGCAAATAACATATGCATTACAAGTTTCATCAGCCCGTTCGCGAGAGTGAGTGTTGTTTTCGCGCCATTTTGCGTTTATCCCAAGCGAAATTACTTTGTCAAGGGGTGATTGGTTTGCTTCATCCTTCACCTTTCATCTCCTTGGAGAGAATGGTGATCCTCATAAGCAAAAAACAGGACCGCATCCCTCTAAAAAGTGTTTTCTGGTATGAAGTGTTTTTTAGCAGTGTTCAGAGCATGGTTGTTTGGAAAATGACCTCTTTTTACGACGGAGTCAGTTTTGAGCAGTTCCTCTAGCCTAATGGAGGATGTTTTGACCCGACGGTTTCCCGTGAGTCAATTTTTTGTCGCAGGACGTTTAGCTTTGTTCTATAATTTCAGATGGGGGAAGTCTATTCGAGTGAGTGAAATTCCATTTCGAAGTGATCGAAATGGGTTGGGACTCTGTAGATGAACATGCCACGGAGGGGTTTTGTCGTACAATAAGAGTTGTCGTGATCAGTTTCGCAACGTATAAGCGTATTGATGGAACCCAACTTTCTACGATAGGATTTTATCGCTTAATTTCATTTGGGTACCCCGTTTCCAGTATATTGCAGAACTGACCACAGTCTAAATGTACCGTGTAATCGTTTTGCCGGCTTACTGTAAGCGGAGTTTTCGGCATTACCAGGCGTTTGGATGGCGTTTCCAGAATTAATTGACGGAACTACATGATCTGAGTCACATTGCTCATCCTATAGGTCCTGTGTATCTCGAGAGATCAGTCTCCCATCGATAGTCCTAGGTCCTAAACTGTTGGATTGGTCTCCTAAATATCGAAACTAACAGAGAGAATTAAATGACTCGGTTCATCCGAAGAGATAATTCGCACAGACTATCGGCCATTTAGTTGACAGACAAGCTTTCACTTCAAGGTCAGTCTTATGTGAATGCTCTTCGCTATTGTCACAGTCGCGACTGCATTTCCATAAAACACTGTCTTTTGCTAACTTACTGTTAACTCCCCTTCGTTGGCCTCTTCTTCATATAATGAAGCATTCCAGTAAGAGACGTTGATAAAACCCTCACTTTCATCGTTGGCCTCTGTGGTTGCAGTGGAGCCGTGTGTCTTAGTTTAGTCAGTACAGCTTCCATTCTTAAACTATTACCAGGTAACAGTCGGCACCCTCAGTGTCCCGAATATGCTAGAACAGTGTAGTGGACGGACGCATCTAACTTTCTCAAATCTATCGACATGCAAAACCTCGAGCAAAGCAATGGAACAAACAGTTTCGAGGTTGGATATATCCACCATCTTCAGCTTGCCACTCTGTGCCCCCAGTCCCGCCTCTACAAGGGAGCTGTAGCAGCTAGCGGCATTGAAACATGTGAATTAAAGAGCGTATTGGTTAGTTGCCTACCGATCAAGCAGTATGCCATCAGAGAATGTATTTCTGAGGATTATGAATATTATCGTATTCAAACTTGACCAACCAAAAGCTGCACTCCCCAATTGATAAGCTACAATAGAAGAGAGGATGTTTCTGAATGCCATAATCAAAGTGGAAATGTTTGTTTAAAGACCTGAGTTTGACTATGGTCTATCTATTTTGGTGGCCTTATGGTTGAAGCGTCCGGAACGACATTCAGTTCAACGAATACAGCTTTTGACGGAATTTCAAATGTAGTTAAAACATCGAGTAGATGAACCGGATTGTGGAAAGATGCAGGGTTCAGTTGGTCTGCGTTGATAGCCCAAAGGAAGGCGTGCAAGTATACTGGTGTAGCCTTGTGTCCTTTCTTCGGAAGCACTTTGTTTGTCAGCATAATCATAAGTCCGACAACAACGTGAGGAAGGCTCAACGGTGAGTCCATAACGGTAACAAAAGGTGTACATGGAGCGGTGGATGGTGTCAACGAACAGGCCGATCCTCCTATTCATCAGTGCCTCTTCCAACATGCTGATGGTTAGTACTTTGGATCTCATGTTGCTCTGTATTTCAGCAGGAATTTCTCTTTTGTTTCCATTCTCACCTGAAGTTCATCAGTGTGTCTATAGAATTTCCACAACTTGTTCCACCTGGTTATGGGATTGTGGCTAGAATGATAATATCTGGATATCCTTGATGCTAACCGACTAACAGCAAGCTGAATATTCGGACGTTGTTGGTGACCAAGATTTCCGGAACTCCAAAATGGTTGAGCAGTGTGCTCCATAGGGAGAACTTCTGATTTTTACTGTAGCATATACTAGCAGTTGGTAATACTAGCCGTCGGTAAGTCCTGCGAAGTCACCATGAAGTCGTGACCACGTGGATCATGGGATCGGGGTTTTCGTGCGACTAATTTCAGGTTCTCGACTCACAATCGCTTTTGTAGTCTTGGAGATACGTTAAACTCCCGACCATCTTCACCGCCAAAAAATGACGAACGTTAAGAGAAACGCTAAATTTGACCATCTGGACAGGTATGCAGTTCCCCTCGACGTCATGTTCCATGGCAGAAGTGACTGGAAAAGACTGAATTGTGGTACCATAATGTTGGCTTCTGGTTCCACCGTTATCATTATGATGACTTTGTCTCTGGGCCGAGAATCCTTCAGTTTCGATAGCGTGTCGGTCTGGTTCGTGGAATCATATAGGACAACCATATCCCAAAAATGTTGCTAAGCGCTGAAAACAATGTGTCTGAGATGAGATGACTTTTCAATCCGAAAAAAAGCGATGAGAGTTTTGTTCTCGGTGGTGAGAGTGAATTAACCCCTCTCCAAGCATTTAAAACTTCACGCTGATTAACCCAGTTGCATGAGATTCTTTCTTTGTCTTGCTTAAGTTAAACTCAGCGGATGTTAGGGACTGCCATCCATGGGACCTATGGACCCTTTTTTGATGATGCTCTGATTAATGAGGAACCAGGTACATTACCGACAAAACCTACTGCAATCGTTTACTAGAAAGATCATAGCGTTGGTTGGTCCGTCGGACCTGTCACAGGCATTTTCCGGTGAAAACGATGGTCGTTTCCATCAAAAGTAAGTCTAAAGCATTTTACGTAAACGATTAAAATGCAAATTTATCGCCGCGTAATTCAGGGTCGGATGTTGAAGAAGTTCTCAGCGGAACCAGTGACGATTTGATGTTATCCAAGTAGCTTAATTTAAGCCGTCAATATGACATCTATTGTCTTCCAGAACATGACTATTTGCTAAATGACGGATGGCTAAATTAGGACAAACTGCAATGTGAATCGGTTGTATACGACTTGTGTGACTTCTTTTTGAACGTAAATATCTGTAAGGTCAGCCTTCACAAAACAAGTTCCACCGTTCGGCAGGCACAGATAATGGATACTGGCGTAAACCCAGCACGACACTCACCACCGTCGTAGTCAACGGTGCACTAGTAATATATGTTTTCACATAACCACTACTCAGCCAGGAGAAAAAATGTATAGCGGAGAGCTGAAAGCGAAAGCGGTAGGGGTTTCTTGTGGGAGATTTCCTCGTCATTATGGAAGACGACCAATTTTAGGGTATGTACACTTTTAAACAGTGTTGAACTATACACATCTGAGCATCCATTGGTGGCCCAGGTTTCTTTACGAACGCTATCCGACATAAACATGGCGCGCAACGACGGGCAGAGTTTAGTTTGGTGGTTCGGCTCGGAAGTGGCAGCATGCGAGCCTCTTGGATCACTCACGTGCCATGTTCTGTCGGATTTCCAACCATATGCAAGAATGAGAACATGAGCCTCGGCCCAGTTCCCACAGAGATCCAAGCACTCAGCTTGACTGTACGTATTTTCCACCCACCTTGCCGTGTCACGTTGTATACGCTGATGAAGATACCGGCATGGTGATACTCAACGCCTGCCTATCGATGAATCCGAGTTTTATGACCACAAGGCGAGCCACTCTTACAGTTTCGCTGTACGCACGAATCTCTATCCTCAACGGAATTCCCTTATGATGCCGTGGTGGTTGCAAGCAGTGCTGAAGCCCGGATAACGAGCACATTAACCTCATGCGTTTCAGTACGAGCATACCTTATACAGCTGCCAAAATATGTTGACTTATCAGTTAGGGGAATTGCGGAAGCCGATATGGTGTTGAAGTGCGCCTGTTTATGTATTTCATAATTGTTTTTGGTTTGTGATCCTATCAGTGCGTCCAAGCCTAGAGAGGATGTCAATTGCGATCCTTGATCAAAGCCTTTGGCTCAAGTGCTTTCCTGCAAGAATTCGGTGGCTGGTGTGAGGCACCTAGAATGGTCCAAATTACGAGGGTGAAGTTAACGACTCCCATTCTGGGGAGCCAGCAGTATGTTTTTCAGACCTCTGTCAACTGAGCAACCCGGTAGGAAAGACCACTACCTGGGCGTTGTGCAGTATAACTCAATGGGCCGAACCACGATAAGTCCGTTCGTGACTGCATGGCTCCATTGGAATGATAATAATAAATATAATAATAATCTTAAGCTGTAACCCGGTAGGAAAGACCACTACCTGGGCGTTGTGCAGTATAACTCAATGGGCCGAACCACGATAAGTCCGTTCGTGACTGCATGGCTCCATTGGAATGATAATAATAAATATAATAATAATCGTTCAGCTGTAGCACTCTTTTGGTGCCTAGCTGCCATGCCACACGAAGAAGGCATGAGGGTTGGGATACTGCCAGGTCGCCCAAGCCTAGACAGGGGAAGGCGAGTGGCAGAGATCGGGCTCGAACCACGGACATTCCGGTCAGTAAATTCACGCTTGAGCCATCCCGACCCCCATGCGACCATTGGAATAGTAGTCGCATTTGTGAATTTGGCGTTTGCCTTTTCGATACCGATAGATGCCACTCAGTATGAGTAACTGACAAATTGAATAACCACTCTATTGTAGCTGTTTTGGTTCTGTCGAAAAGCGGCATTCTGACAACCTGTATGTCATGTGATTGCAACTCGATATTGTCCGTGAGTTGATCATATCACTCAAAACCATTTTGGCAATCATTACTCAGTGTTTCCCTTAGATTGTCCGAGAACTGCTTTGCAGTATGTGGAACAGAAGTGGAATGTAAACTACTGCGCGCGAGTGTCAAAGGTGGAGTTTCTCATCCACTTATGTCCAAATCATTTTAAATTGAGACTATCACTGAGGTATTGTGTGCCTGAAAAGTGCATGCCTTCTAGAACAACCCACCAGTTGGTTTTCAATTACCACCTCATGCACTCGAAGCTCGCCTAGCAACTGTGGACACAAGTTTTTCAATTCATTCCAACTGAAAAACGTGATCAATACCATATCCAAAACTGTGTAAATCCGAAAAACACTCTTCTGTATGATTACTGAAAACGATCATGTATTTTCTAGGGGATGTAAAGTTAACTTTGATTGTAGAAAACGGATTTGTAGCGTGAATGTTTTGTCTACCACTGTTTGTAGAGATCCTCTTGGGGAGAATCACAGCCACTCTGTTTTGCGCTGGCGGAGTAAGTTTCGGGCTGATTCACTGTTGGTATAGATGCTTTCTAAAGGGACTGCTCACATGACCAGCTGCCTTCTGGAGGCCTCTTTTCAGACAGCATGACTGTATATTTCAGTCCATCGATGCTGATGGGCGTGGCTAGTCCTGATGGCTGTGATACTGCGCTATCTAGTTTAAGGGTCCTCAGACAGTTGCAGTAAGTGCTGAGTCTCTCTTCAGTAATGTTTCTGCTGCGTAAGCCATGAGCAGTTTCTGACTGAAGAGTCTGAAGACTGAGACAAAAACCAAACCGTTGGACTGATCTCTTAGTGTCTGAATATAGAATTTCTCTCATTCACGATTTACAACACACGTGGAAATAATGTAGTTGTTTGAATCATGCGCGGATGATCCGGCGTTGTCGTACCATGCGTTGAAAAGAGAATGTTGCCCGTCGAAAATTTCACGTGAAATCCTTCGATCGATAGACGAAGTTCACAAGACGTTGGCATCCAGCACTGCCAAGTTTTCTGACAAAGGGTCCGGCCACCCATACAACATCTTGACTGGTTAACTTACTTTGAAAGGTATCGTTTCGATATCTTCACCTTACGGTAAACTTATAGCCCGATGCAAACTCATGGGATACGTTCCGATGTTTACGGCTTTTGTATCGGACACTGAGTCACCTTTCCAATACGATGCCCCATGGACTGAATCAATTGCTAGCGCAGTCGCTTAGAATGAGCCTGTTATTAACGCAGAGTTGTTTTCAGCTCGTCTCCTAAAATCATCACCCAATAGTTCAAGATAGAACCCATTTGCCAATTGCGATATGTATATAGATTCTGTCTGTCAGTCCGACAACAAGCGATTACAAAGACGACTGGTCTTGATGGAATGTATATCGAAGGGCAGTGAGAAAAGAAAATGACCGGAGCAGTCCTCCCAGTACACTGCAAAACCTACACGCAGTTGATATTTATGCTAACGATGCTCCAGCCTTGGATTTTTCACCAAACTCTTTTCACATTAGTTAGGCTTTGTCGGGAATGTGGCAAACATTGTTTAATGTGCTATGCTAAACCTGATCGACTTTAAAACTTAGGCCGAGCAAAGGACACAACTGTTAGTTTTTTTCGCCACACATGTGAGTTAGGATAACTAAGTAGATCTGTCGAGTTATTTGGTTGCATCTTACTCTTTCGTGCACTTCCCCCTACTGACACCATGTTGTCACCTTCGGTCCTTTATTCGATCATGCATCCATGTCATTCGCTTGCCACTGTTGTCAGCTAACACCCTCTCCCTTTCAAAAACATTGTCTCTTCCGTTTTACGAAGGATCGAAATGCCAACCGCCTGCTCCACGAAAATGCTGGCCTGAAGTTCTTCGAAATATTCATCTCCAGCCCAATTGAGGTATGTGAACAGCGTGATGTCAAAGGGTTATACAAAAAAGCTCGTGCTGGAGTGATCAAAGACTTCACTGGTGTGACATCAACCTACGATGTACCAACCAACCCCGATCTGGTTATCAATACCGATGTTCACGACGTACAGGAATGCGTTCGTCAATGTGTTGAGTTTCTTTCCAAAAAGGTGTGTTCCCCAGCATCTCTCGAGTTGTTTGTTGATTCTCCTAGTTGTTGGGAACTGTCTTTCCCCTCACTCTTGTTCCGTTTTGTGCTAAGTTAGAAGATTGACCTTCCAATAAGTGGGGTGGTGGACTGGTTGTCTAGGGAAAACACATGGGGCCGTTCTAACAAGGTTGAACTCTACCTTAATGACGGCAAAATCTGGTATGTGTTGTCGGGAAGTCATAGAAATACCGGGACCATCCCAATTCGACCAGTTTCTGCAAATACACACACGCGGTTCTGTCTCGTGTAGCATTTGTTGTGTTCCACTTGTCCGAAGGAGAGTTCCACCTCTTCGTCTTTCTGATGTACATCTAAGCATTCGCTGCAGTTGGAACAGATACCCCACCAGGTCAGCTTCGTGCTTCATAACTTCAACCAAGCAACATTCGGCATACTCATCACTGTGTTTCATGGGACGCAGCACTGTGCATTTTGCTGTAGCTTAGCAATGTCACTCAAACCTCCTGAACTACGAGTATTTCTCACTAATTTCTGATGAATACTTGGGGTGTGTGTGGTAGACATGCATACGTTCGACGTGATCTGCTACAGAGGTTCAACGTACACAGTGAGTTTAGATTTGTTTTTATGTTTTGTACCTGTCTGTCATCGCTATTATTCTCTTTCGTTCTGCCATCAGTTTCGTACCTCCTGTCACCTCCAGCTCTGTTTGAGTGACCGAGTTAATGGAGACTGTTAAAGGTCAATAGACAACAACTCTTGTAAACTTCAGTGCACATCTTGTTGTTTTCTTAGCTCATCACCAGCGTCCAAGTTAGTGACGCTTGCTTTTATGAATACTTCTAGCTCACAATCACTGTTTTTTTTGCCTCGGATACAGGGTGTGATACCAAGTTTTCACGAAACTAATCCATTTGGCGGGCCAATGCCTCAAGAACTGTTTGTTTACGATCCAGAGAAGCTAGATGCGATTCGTCAGGAAGCCAAAAAACTGCCGGAACTACGATTAACGCGTTTGGATGTGGAATGGTTGCAGGTGTTGGCCGAGGGCTGGGCCACTCCTCTGAAGGGATTTATGCGAGAACGACAGTATTTACAAGTGCTCTACTTTGGTCAGCTGGTTTCAGATGGTACGTTCCCTTTCAGCTTCACAACCGAACGGTATTTCGTATTTTTCGGTCATGAATCTTTATGTTTTAAGTGACAAACTTCAATGTTATCTCCTCTTATTTGCCTGATTTCCTAGTGTTTTTGTCAACTGAGCCTGTTTAAGGAATACCCCCTATCTTTCACTGGGGGATTTCAGAGATACGGATGACGTGGAGTAAATGAGCCTCTACAGAGAACGACTACCGTGGTCAACCCAAAGCGAAAGATTCGTTCACGGATAAATCAAGCCGATTTATTCGTCGGCCGGCCAGTATGCCACTTTCCACAGCTTTGTGGATATGTAACACAAGATGAACCTCATACGCTGTCTATCCTACAAAGCCTGCATGAATGCCAAGGTGGATGCTGAACTATTGGTTACTCAACTGCTTGTCTCAGGCGAATAATTGCTGCCGCGTAGCCGATTGCTCGCCGATTGATAAGTATAAATCTGAGGATAAAGTACCCACGATTACTTTATAGTTTTATATTCATTTGGTTGCGAATGTTCTGTAGCCTATTTGGATAAAACGACACGGGGCTTATTTCGGGGAATCACGGAGCACTTACTATTCGGTGAAAATTGGAGCAGTCAAACAAATGACGAACACTATTGCTAATCACCGGACCAATATAATCCACCGGATCGATCTGGCTGAGCATAATATATCGAGTATCGAAAAATCTAATAGGTCACCGCTCGTTTAGCCAACAAAGGAGACGTTCAAAAGCTGTGACAAAATAGCTGGTGTCGACTTTATATACGAATAGTATTGTAACGCTGTGTAGTACGTTACCCTTACCTGACGAGACGCGATTTAAAGCGACCGTTTCCAAAATTATGTTTCCACATTAAATGGGAACATTGGATAGATTTAAGCAGTCTCGTTGGAACGCATTACTGGCGAAAGCTCTTAAACAGCACGAAACCAACTTCGCCCTTCCTGAGACTTGTCACTTAGCACAGTCCCTCACCGTCATCATCGGCGACAGCATGACATCACTGTTCAACACCGATGCTTCGCCTCCACGTGACGATGACTTATATGGAAGCCTTGTTGTGAGGAAAAGAATAAAGGTGGACGGGGAAGGGCTTAGTGTTAACTTACTGCAATCATTCCGATGTGCCTACGCCTCAAGACACCCATTGAGGCAGTCGTGATAGAAACTGACATCAAGAACGCTACTGACATCGGTTATTGTTGTTTCTGAGACACAGCGCACATCAATGCCAAGCTAGTCCAGTGCGAGAGCAAGAGCAGCTTGTTGTCCTACTTGCTTCACAGTGGGGACATTGATGGCGGCCAGATGGACCGGACATGGAAGCTTGAAGATGGATTTCGAGGTACCTGAGGATTTCAGCGCCATGTGACGTGCAGATGTTGCACGCAAAACCGATGCAAGACGAACGGATTCATCAGTTCTAAGTGCTGAGCCTGCAAGGAAAGAACTATTAATGTGGTGGGGACATGGGGAAGAAAAAAGGATTTTTGAATAAGAGAGAAAGGAGGCGTCACAAGCAGCCCGTATTCACTTGCCCGCTCTACTGTATGCAGCGAGTAGGGCGACCGGCTGCTGGTACGGCGCGACGGTCGATGCAGCATAAGTTTATTTTTAGACGTAAGTATCATGGCTGGGATACTGTCAGAGCGCCCATACTTAGACAGGAGGACGATTAGGGTCCTCAACCAAAGCCTTTGGCTCAATAGCCTAACCGCAAGGGAGCGGTGTTTGGTGGGAAGTGCAAATGCACTACCATTTCTACCGTACAAGTTGCCACATGTTCCAACCACCAAATCCGGAGAACCAGTAGACTGTGTTCGTCAGACCTCTAACGATTGACCAACCCTGGTTCTAGAGACTGTGTCGCTGAGGTGCGCACCACGGTAAGGTCCACTGTCTTCGTCATAGTATAATCCCTGCTCTACTTGAATCCGTTTGCAAATAATGGGTGTGTTTTGCAATGGTGCACTCGTGGCGCTGACCACCAGGTACTAGTCCGGTTGGAAACTGGATTTTTCCAGCCAGTTTTTACCCTTGTGAAATCTCACTCTTCCTCGAAAACCTTGAAATTGGCCCCAGGCATTTGATTAAGACATCACCTGTGTGTCTGTTGAAACTTACCTCCTAAATGCTGGTCCTCATTTTCAACTGTTTCACATCAGATACTCAAGTTCCCAACCTCACAGTACCTATTGTGTTACCGGTGCACACTAGGGAGAAGTCGATGCTTGAGAATGCCAAGGCCTTCAAACTCACCTACCAAGGTCGAACACTCGCGGTTCTCAGGGATCCCGAATTCTATCGTCATCGGAAAGTAAGTAGTCATTGTGATGTACCGCAAACAAGTCATTCCGCGTGCGTTAAGTACAACTCTGCTTCTCTCAACAAACGCGTTGTAGCTCCCCTCTCGGACCGTCATGTCTGTGTTGTGCCGATGTCGCATCAATCCCACTGCTGATGTCTTTCTCTGACATGGTGTTCAGGTGTGTTTATCCGATTGCTATTCGGGTATGTTGGTAGCGTGTTGCTAATAGTTCTCCATCAGAGCAGGCTTTCTACAATATGTCCACATCCCTCCCTCTCCTTTCTACTCTGTACTAGGGCCCTTCTTCCCATTGATGTCTGTTACTCCTAGGAACAACGGATACGGTATGTATCCCAGCCGCCTCATTTCCAATCAACCGTACAGTCAACTACTTGGTTCAATGTTGTCGACGCATTGATTTCAGTTCTCGTGCATGATGTTTTTTTTTCAGGAGGAGCGCTGTTGTCGTACGTTCGGCACATTCCATCCAGACCACCCAAGTATAAAAGCTATTCTGGCATCAGGCGATTGGTTGGTTGGTGGTGAGCTGGAGGTGTTGGAGCGTATTCGATGGAACGACAATCTCGATCAGTACCGACTGACACCGCGAGAATTGCATAAACGATTTTTGGAAATGAAGGTATGTGCCGTGCTTATGACCGGGTCAACGCAATTCGCTTCTTTTTGGTCCCTATTTTTAGCGTCGCTGTTTTCTCAACGACCACCGATTGAGTCAAAATCCACGTTCGATAGGTATTGTGGCCATACTATAGACACAAAACGGACGTACAATGAGCTAGTATGGTGAGAAATAAGGATGATCGGCACACATATGTGATCGTTCATCTTTTTTGTCGCACCTTCAGAAATAGACATTCTCGAAAAATGAGTGATGGGCTCGAGATAGCTCAGTGTTTAAGGCGCAAAATTACTTGTCTGAAGGCCCGTGGTCCGAAACAAACCTGAGCATCTCGACTGCTCCTGGCTAAGTTTGGACAACTCGCCCCGCGACCTTCCTTCGGGTGCCAATATAGGTAGGCACCGAAATGGTGTGATGTGAATCTTGACTGAGTGGGTTAGTGGAAATATTGTTATCCTGAATCATTTTTCGCTCTCTGGCTAAGTTTGGACAACTCGCCCCGCGACCTTCCTTCGGGTGCCAATATAGGTAGGCACCGAAATGGTGTGATGTGAATCTTGACTGAGTGGGTTAGTGGAAATATTGTTATCCTGAATCATTTTTCGCTCTACGACGACTCCAACAGTCCATCTTCGGTGCCCGGGGCGATAGTCCCTGACAAGCACACGCTTACCAGACCGGAATGTTGGCTTCCCTCTTGTCGGTGATTGAAAACATGTAAGTGTTGGTAGGATAACGTCATGGGTAAGTCTCAACCGTCTATTCATCATAACCGTCCGGAGATTGTGGATTAGGGGTTGCTCTATAGTTCAGCAGGAACGTATCCAGCACTTCTGTCGTGGTCCCCTCCC